GATTCTTGCACTTACATAGCGACGTGCATGCACGTGTGTGTGTTTGGCTGCTTGTACTAGTCCGGACTGATGCCGATTTATAGTGCTAGCTCACTGAGATACCATGCCGCAGTTTAACATGAATTCCCCACTCAGACACAGTATACTGACTCCAAGCCGACCAGTTCTTGTTTTATGCCTTAGTGCTGAGCGCCAGACAGGGTAACAACAAGTACCATCTTTTAATGTCTTTTGGTATGACGTGGCCGGGGATCGAACCCCGGACTTTCTGCTCTCCGGGCGGACACTCTACCACTAGACCATAGAGGCCGTCACAACAATAACAAACAAGGCATATTTAGCCAGTTCTAGCTAGCTTTATTTCACAGATGTATCGGCATAGGGAAATTATTTGTTTAATAAGATTTCATAGACTAAAAGTTAATCTAGGTGAAGGGATACAGACGACAGAACTGTACACTGGCCATTTAAAAGCGAGACGACTGTAGAAGCCAGGGAGCGGGCACGTGCACAGGGGCGTGTTCTGCACAGAGGCGGGAATCTCAGTAGTCAAACGAGACGGAAAGTGATCCTCCTCAACGTACAGCGATGTAACCATCGCCTAATAGACTAATATCTGGTTTAGCAAGAAAACAAAGGTACAGCCACAAGGGATAATACAATCGTTTGGGTTTCAAATTGGAAGAAAAAACAACATGCACGAAAACATTAAACTGACGAACAGTCGATCGCCTTTGTCGAACACTTGGCCGAGATCCAATTTCTGACAAGGTGGTACACAGTAGACATCGTTATTAAAACCACACACTCTTCGTGGTAATGGCAAACTTTAGTAGTGAAGTCGTGTATTTAAATTTTAGCAAAAATAATTTTAAAAAATACAAAAAAATACAAAAAAACAAGAAAGAAGTGAGCAGAGCTCACATACCCCCTTTATCCCCGCTGGTCAATAACAAATAGTAAATAGTTTGTTAATTAAGGAAATATTACATATTTCTAACTGATTTTAACTTCAATGTTTTAAAAACTAAGATTGAGTTCCAGTGACAATTGACCCCCCTCCCAAATCTCCCATGTTACCAGTGTTCACTACGAGGAAGGTGATCACCATGTTCACCTTTGAATAAAAATTTGATTGAGGAGTTACATAAGAAGAATTATCAAAAGGACCCAAAATTGCTGATATAAAAACACATAAAAAATGGAACAATATCATATAAGAAAATCAATAAATTAATAATTTCCATTTAGCCTTAACAGATATGGTAAAGAATTCATAAATTCAAACTAACACAAAGCACAGATACTTATCTGTGTGCATGGTTAAAAAGTTATGGGCCATACAAAACACCCACCCTAAAAGTTTAAGTTTCTTAATGGTTCCATGGAAACGGCTAAAATTAAAAAGTTCAGAATCTTCAAACTAGCAAAGGGCACAAGTACTCATTGTGGTAAATGTGTGTAGCAAGTTTGGTGAAGCTAGTGTCCATGGTTAAAAAGTAATGGGCCGTACAAAAGCTTGGACAGAAGGACGGACGAACGGAACGCTATATACCCCCGATTTACTTCATAAACGAGGAAGGACGGACGAACAGAACACTATATACCCCTGATTTACTTCGTGGGTGTAGACAAGTATGGGTTGGTGTGTCCTTTTCTACCCTGGATGTTCACGGGTGTTGACAAGCATGGGTTGGTGAAGACCTATTGTACCCCGGAACTTCATGGGTGTAGACAAGCATGGGTTGGTGAGGACCTATTGTACCCCGGAACTTCATGCGTGTAGACAAGCATGGGTTGGTGAGGACCTATTGTACCCCGGAACTTCATGGGTGTAGACAAGCATGGGTTGGTGAGGACCTATTCTATGGAGGATGTTCACGGGTGTAGACAAGCATGTGTTGGTGAAGACCTATGGTTCCCCGGAACTTCATAGGTGTAGACAAGCATGGGTTGGTGAGGACCTATTGTACCCCGGAACTTCATGGGTGTAGACAAGCATGGGTTGGTGAGGACCTATTCTATGGAGGATGTTCACGGGTGTAGACAAGCATGGGTTGGTGAGGACCTATTGTACCCCGGAACTTCATGGGTGTAGACAAGCATGGGTTGGTGAGGACCTATTCTATGGAGGATGTTCATGGGTGTAGACAAGCATGGGTTGGTGAGGACCTATTGTACCCCAGAACTTCATGGGTGTAGACAAGCATGGGTTGGTGAGGACCTATTGTACCCCGGAACTTCATGGGTGTAGACAAGCATGGGTTGGTGAGGACCTATTCTATGGAGGATGTTCATGGGTGTAGACAAGCATGGGTTGGTGAGGACCTATTCTATGGAGGATGTTCACGGGTGTAGACAAGCATGGGTTGGTGAGGACCTATTCTATGGAGGATGTTCACGGGTGTAGACAAGCATGGGTTGGTGAGGACCTATTCTATGGAGGATGTTCACGGGTGTTGACAAGCATGTGTTGGTGAAGACCTATTGTACCCCGGAACTTCATGGGTGTAGACAAGCATGGGTTGGTGAGGACCTATTGTACCCCGGAACTTCATGGGTGTAGACAAGCATGGGTTGGTGAGGACCTATTCTATGGAGGATGTTCACGGGTGTAGACAAGCATGTGTTGGTGAAGACCTATTGTACCCCGGAACTTCATGGGTTTAGACAAGCATGGGTTGGTGAGGACCTATTCTACCCCGGAACTTCATGGGTGTAGACAAGCGTGTGTTGGTGAAGACCTATTGTACCCCGGAACTTCATGGGTGTAGACAAGCATGGGTTGGTGAGGACCTATTGTACCCCGGACCTTCATGGGTGTAGACAAGCATGGGTTGGTGAGGACCTATTCTATGGAGGATGTTCACGGGTGTAGACAAGCATGTGTTGGTGAAGACCTATTCTACCCCGGAACTTCATGGGTTTAGACAAGCATGGGTTGGTGAGGACCTATTCTACCCCGGAACTTCATGGGTGTAGACAAGCGTGTGTTGGTGAAGACCTATTGTACCCCGGAACTTCATGGGTGTAGACAAGCATGGGTTGGCGAAGACCTATTGTACCCCGGAACTTCATGGGTGTAGACAAGCATGGGTTGGTGAGGACCTATTCTATGGAGGATGTTCATGGGTGTAGACAAGCATGAGTTGGTGAAGACCTATTCTACCCCGGATGTTCACGGGTGTGGATAAGCATGGGTTGGTGAAGACCTATTGTACCCCGGAACTTCATGGGTGTAGATAAGCATGGGTTGGTGAAGACCTATTCTACCCCGGAACTTCATGGGTGTAGACAAGCATGGGTTGGTGAGGACCTATTGTACCCCGGTACTTCATGTGTGCAGACAAGCATGGGTTGGTGTGGACAAGCATGAGTTGGTGAGGACCTATTGTACCCCGGAATTTCATGGGTGCAGACAAGCATGGGTTGGTGAAGACCTATTCTACCCCGGAACTTCATGGGTGTAGACAAGCATGGGTTGGTGAGGACCTATTGTACCCCGGAACTTCATGGGTGCAGACAAGCATGGGTTGGTGAAGACCTATTCTACCCCGGAACTTCATAGGTGTAGACAAGCATGAGTTGGTGAGGACCTATTGTATGACGGAACTTCATGGGTGCAGACAAGCATGGGTTGGTGAAGACCTATTGTACTCCGGAACTTCATGGGTGTAGACAAGCATGGGTTGGTGAGGACCTATTCTATGGAGGATGTTCACGGGTGTAGACAAGCATGGGTTGGTGAGGACCTATTGTACCCCGGAACTTCGTGGGTGCAGACAAGCATGGGTTGGTGAAGACCTATTCTACCCTGGAACTTCATGGGTGTAGACAAGCATGGGTTGGCGAAGACCTATTGTACCCCGAAACTTCATGGGTGTAGACAAGCATGGGTTGGTGAGGACCTATTCTATGGAGGATGTTCATGGGTGTAGACAAGCATGGGTTGGTGAGGACCCATTGTACCCCAGAACTTCATGGGTGCAGACAAGCATGGGTTGGTGTAGACCTATTGTACCCCGGAACTTCATGGGTGTAGACAAGAATGGGTTGGTGAGGACCTATTCTATGGAGGATGTTCATGGGTGTAGACAAGCATGAGTTGGTGAAGACCTATTCTACCCCGGATGTTCACTCGTGTGGACAAGCATGGGTTGGTGAAGACCTATTCTACCCCGGAACTTCATGGGTGTAGACAAGCATGGGTTGGTGAGGACCTATGGTACCCCGGAACTTCATGGGTGCAGACAAGCATGGGTTGGTGAAGACCTATTCTACCCTGGAACTTCATGGGTGTAGACAAGCATGGGTTGGTGAGGACCTATTGTACCCCGGACCTTCATGGGTGCAGACAAGCATGGGTTGGTGAAGACCTATTCTACCCCGGAACTTCATGGGTGTAGACAAGCATGAGTTGGTGAGGACATATTGTACCCCGGAACTTCATGGGTGCAGACAAGCATGGGTTGGTGAAGACCTATTCTACCCCAGAACTTCATGGGTGTAGACAAGCATGAGTTGGTGAGGACCTATTGTACCCCGGAACTTCATGGGTGCAGACAAGCATTGGTTGGTGAGGACCTATTCTATGGAGGATGTTCATGGGTGTAGACAAGCATGGGTTGGTGAAGACCTATTCTACCCTGGAACTTGATGGGTGTAGACAAGCATGGGTTGGTGAGGACCTATTCTACCCCGGAACTTCATGGGTGTAGACAAGCATGGGTTGGTGAAGACCTATTCTACCCTGGAACTTGATGGGTGTAGACAAGCATGGGTTGGTGAGGACCTATTCTATGGAGGATGTTCACGGGTGTAGACAAGCATGGGCTGGTGAGGACCTATTCTACCCCCGATGTTCACGGGTGCAGACAAGCATGGGTTGGTGAGGACCTATTCTATGGAGGATGTTCACGGGTGTAGACAAGCATGGGCTGGTGAGGACCTATTCTACCCCCGATGTTCACGGGTCCACAGATAAAGCAGTGGTACTGTACCTGGGGTAAGAGTTGTCCCCCGGAATGGGTTCTATTGTGAGGGTGTTATGTTCAACACAGTGCTGTACTCTCTCTGCCAACTGAAACATATAATACATATAAATATCATACCTTTAATGCAGATGAAATTAATGACAGGTTTGAAGACATGTTACACATGAACAGATAGCTGGAACGCAACTTGCTCCGCTGAGAAAAAAAAGTAAATAACATGGCACATGCTTTCAGAGCATGTGCAAAACAAGGCAAATTGGACTCACTTGAGTTAAGGACAGATTGGCATATGTCGTCGGGATAGGGTGTAGATTCAACAGATTCGTTTTAAAGCTCATCAAGATAGAACGTAGGTAGAACGTAGGTAGAACGTAGGTAGAACACATTCACTTAGGGAGGCCGTTGCAATAGGGTGCACCACAGCTAGCTACAATAGAGCTAGACTCTTGACTGATTGATATGTTTGATAGCAGCAAATACACTTTAAAATCATATTTGTAATTTTCTATTGAATAATTATATACTTATCCTATCTTACACTATGCATTTCCTCTAATTCTTCGATCTTGGTGTGGAAACGTCCTAGAACAGAGTTTCCAGCTTCAAAAACACCACTCACCCAAACACATCCCACACATCACCAAATCACCACTGTGATCATGGTTCACGCACCACTAAAATCCTGTGCATCATGACCCAAGTGACCTGATCACCTGACATATCCAGCACCCTCATTCTCAATTTAGAGCGTACAGGCTGGTGTAACTGTGGGCATTTAACGTGTGAGATAGAATAAGTATATAAATATGGGAAATTATGGAAGGACAAAGATTTAACAAAGACACCCTGTTCCATTATGGAGGGACAAGCTCTAACAAGGAGACCTTGTTCCATTATGGAAGGACAAAGATCTCACAAAGACGCTCTGTTCATTCATTGAAAGATAAAGGTCTAACAAGGGGACCCTGTTCCTGAAGGAAGTTTAAAAATCTAACAAAGACAACCTGTTCCATTATGGAAGGACAGCAATCTAACAAGGTCAAGCTCTTTCTGATGGAAAGACTAGGATCTAACAAGGAGACCCTATTCCTGAAGGAAGTTCAAAAATCTAACAAAGACACCCTGTTTAACTATGGAAGGACAAAGATCTAACAAAGACACCCTGTTCCATTATGGAAGGACAAAGATCTAACAAGGAGACATTGCTCCTGAAAGAAGTTCAAAGATCTAACAAAGACACCCTGTTCCATTATGGAAGGACAAAGATCTAACAAGGAGACATTGCTCCTGAAAGAAGTTCAAAGATCTAACAAAGACACCCTGTTCCATTATGGGAGGACAACGATCTAACAAGGAGACCCTGTTCCATTATGGGAGGACAAAGATCTAACAAGGAGACCTTGGTCCTGAAGGAAGTTCAAAGATCTTAAAAAGACACCCTGTTCCATTATGGAAGGACAAAGATCTAACAAACACACCCTGTTCCATTATGGGAGGACAACGATCTAACAAGGAGACCTTGGTCCTGAAAGAAGTTCAAAGATCTAACAAGGAGACCCTGTTCCATTATGGAAGGACAAAGATCTAACAAGGAGACCCTGTTCCATTATGGAAGGACAAAGATCTAACAAGGAGACCCTGTTCCATTATGGAAGGACAAAGATCTAACAAGGAGACCATGTTCCATTATGGAAGGACAAAGATCTAACAAGGAGACCCTGTTCCATTATGGAAGGACAAAGATCTAACAAGGAGACCCTGTTCCATTATGGAAGGACAAAGATCTAACAAGGAGACCATGTTCCATTATGGAAGGACAAAGATCTAACAAGGAGACCCTGTTCCATTATGGAAGGACAAAGATCTAACAAGGAGACCCTGTTCCATTATGGAAGGACAAAGATCTAACAAGGAGACCCTGTTCCATTATGGAAGGACAAAGATCTAACAAGGAGACCCTGTTCCATTATGGAAGGACAAAGATCTAACAAGGAGACCATGTTCCATTATGGAAGGACAAAGATCTAACAAGGAGACCCTGTTCCATTATGGAAGGACAAAGATCTAACAAGGAGACCATGTTCCTGAAGGAAGTTTAAAAATCTAACAAAGACACCTTGCTGCCAAACAAGAAAACCTCCGTGAAAGTTCAAGTAGGTGAGGTGAGGTGTATTGGGGTTTAACGTCGCCTCCAAGATTATTGCACTTATATAGCGACGTGCATGTTTGTGTGTGTTTGTGTGGCTGCTTGAACTAGTCTGGACTGATACCAATTTATAGTGCTGGCACACTGAGATACCATGCTGCTGTTTAACGTGAATACCCCACTCAGACACAGTATACTGACTCCAAGCCGACCAGTCCTTGTTTTAGCCCCTTAATGCCGAGCACCAGACAGGGTAACAACAAGTACCATATTTTAACGTCTTTTGGTATGACGCGGCCAGGGTTTGAACCTCGGACCTACCTCTCTCCGGGCGGACGCTCTACCACTAGACCACAGAGGCGGTCGAAAGTTCAAGGATCTCACAAGGAGACCCTGCTTCTGATGGAAGAACAAGGATCTAACACGGTGTTCCTGGAGACGGTGCTCCTTCAAAGTAATACAAAGAGACCCCTACAATCCTACAATCCACCAACCTTCTTGTTGGAGAAGTTGAGGCAGGGAATGATGTCCTCCATCATCATCCTGGCCAGGAAGGGGCTCGTGCACTCCATCACCGGGTCCTGCCGCCAGCCCAGGAACTGGTCATAACATGCTGTGTCAAACTGAAACATACAAATCAAATTACTTCGTATTAGCCCGAGGAGGTCAGGTAACCTAGCGGTTAAAGCGTTCGCTCTTCTCGACCAGGACCCGGGTTCAATTCCCGACATGGGTACAATGTTTGAAGCTCATTTCACTTGACAAGATGGTACATGTTACCCTGCTTTGCGCTCGGCATTAAGGGGATAAGCTGTGTGTGAGCTGGGTATCCATGTTTAACTGAGGCATGATACTGTATCTCAGTGGGCTAGCACCATAAAGGGCGGCATAAGCTGGACTAGTACAAGCAGCCACACACAGATACACACATGAGACTATCTCTGAGTATACATATCCTACAGGGAATACATTGGAGATAGTGAGTCAGTATGGTTTTATGCTGCTTTTAGCAATAATCCAGCAATATCGCAGCGGGGGACACCAGAAATTGGCCTCACACATTGTGCCCAAGTTGGGAATCAAACCCAGGTCTTCAGCATGACGCATGAACGCTTTAACCACTAGGGTATCCCACCAGCCCTGAATACCATTGGATCTATCAGTCACAACCTATATCATTTTTGCGAATACACTCCCTCTATTTCACCTTAGCCATAAATCTTTAATTTTGCCTGTCAGCACACTATAAACTGGGTTTAGACAGGACAGTGGTTATAGGCAGGAAATCACTCTGCAAAGTCACGTGAATCATGTCAGGATGGAGGTGACATCAGTGAAAGTGACATCTTACTGGAAGTGATGTCGTAGAAACATTAATTGACATCATCAAGCCAGAAATGACGTCATAGAGGCTCAAACTGGTGGGATCAGAGAGATCTGGGCCTAGGCTGTAAGGACGTAAATGTAACAGTAGTTCCATGGAAGTATATCAAGTATGTGCTAAGGTTCTTGGCATGATTCCACTTTCGGACCTATTGAGGTGATTTCGGTCCCTATTTTGGTCCAAAGGGAAAGAGAAGCTTATTTAAGAGCAACACCTAGGCACCCCTTAGAAGCTGGATTTAGGAGAGAACATCCAACTGATTGAGCTAGGTATTTGGGCTTGGTTCCCCTGTAAGTGCAGCAGACTATCCAGGGATTGCTAGAAGCCAGAGCACACCTATTCCCTCTGTGTTTCTGGCTACAATGTAAAAGAGGTAGAGTATTCATAAGAATTATCAAACAATAGTTATCATTGTTAATAATTCAAAGAATGCTGCCTCCATTCCATCGGGAGTAATCCCACCCTCTAGGGGGCGAAGTCTTTGAATTATTAACAGTGAAAACTATTGTTTGATGTTTACATGGTATCCATTACACTCACATCTTTGCAGTGTATGGAGCCGTGGTTCTGCTGTGCCTCCGCAGCCTGTCGAGACTCCTTGGTAAACTCATGGTGACTGGTGGACCGTCTGTGTGTCTTCCAGAATGGCTTGCTGACCTTCTTCTCCTTGGCCTCCGCAATCTGGGGATGCAGGTGTTTGTTGGGGGAGCTGGGCGTCGATGTCAGAACCAGTTGCTTCAAGGCCACTACTTCAGCCTGCAGTACTTCAATCTTAAACACAACACTGCCATATTTCAATCTTAAACACAACACTGCCATACATCAATCTTAAACACAACACTGCCATACTTCAATCTTAAACACAACACTGCCATACTTCAATCTTAAACACAACACTGCCGTAGTTCAATCATAAACACGACACTGCCTTACTTCAATCAAAAACTCAACACTGCCTTACTTCCATCAAAAACTCAACACTGCCATACTTTAACATTAAACACAACACTGCCATACTTCAATATTAAACACAACGCTGCCATACTTCAATATTAAATACAACACTGACATACTTCCATCAAAAACACAACACTGCCATACTTCAATCAAAAACTCAACACTGCTGTACTTCAATCTTGAATTCCAAGCTGCCTTACTTCAACATTAAACACAACACTGCCATACTTCAACATTAAACAAAACACTGCCATACTTCAATATTAAATACAACACTGACATACTTCCATCAAAAACACAACACTGCCATACTTCAATCAAAAACTCAACACTGCTGTACAGGGGTCCGGAAAATTTAAAATCCCAATCGGTATTTACATTTAGGCCACGCCCCCTTCAAATACCAGGGTAGCTTATTTTAGTACAACTTTACACACACATTACAAGTTGCTACGTATTCATAATATGATGAATTATGAATTGTTTAAATTTAAATTGTATAATTCACGGGACAATTAATAACAAATAACATTTTAGAATTCCATGGAAAACATGTGTTTATTTCTGTGATAATAACGATCTGTTAATGTAGTGAACAGTCTAATTAATATTCATGAGTTGTATCTGCTCAAGTGTATGCGTTGTAACATTTGGATCGAGACTATATCCCATATTTGGTTATCACATGACCTCAAGGGAAAAGATTTTTTTAAACTAAAGATTTTTTAAAAAACAAGACAGATACTGTATTCGACGTAATAAGCGCCCCGCTCTAATAAGCGCCAATGGCCATATTTGCTGATATATTTGCTAGTGAACAATCCCAATTAGCATCCCTTCCGATTGATCAATGTACACAAGACTTATTTATTCGTGTATAATACGTACTCGTGTGTTATATGCACCCTTAATTGTGGGCAATTAAATCCTGGAAAATATATCTGTCTTGTATGATACGTACATACTTTTCTTTTGTATCATTTCAGGCTGTCAGCATAAACTACGAAATTTACAATTTTTCAACTCTGTTTTTGTTCTCACCAGAATTAGAAGAGCCTAATAAGAGCCCACTATTTCCAATTTTGAGAGCGCCCCGGGCGCTTAATACGTCGAATACGGTAATATAATCACAAATACTAAAATATTGTTGATAGCAATAGTTATTTGAATACTTTTTTCATCTGTACTTATTTATTGACCATAAAATAATTATATCGATCGTCACAGAAAACAAAATGGCGGTCAATCAAAATTCAATATACGACTAGCTACTGAAAACAATAAAATCTGCAAATCCTCATTGTATGTCAACCAAGTGAAAGATGTTAACCACGACTTACAAAATGATCGTCCAGACTTTGAGGGTTTGGCAGATCCAGTCGACTGGCTGTCGTCACGTTTTCGCTTCATCTCTGAGGTTACGTATCGTAGCATTGCGAGGATAATGAGGTACATCTATGATGCAAGGTAATTATACAGTTGTAAACACCTTTTGTTCTCAGTAATTAATCCTCGACTCAGTCTTTCCAATCAGTGTCAACTCAGTTTATTGCCTATTGCAGTGACTATCATGTAGGTACGATGTATTTACAGCAATCAATACAAACAAAGCTTGTCAGTGTAGATAATCTTCATTGTGTTACAACTGCAGACAGAAACTGCTCAGTCCTAACGGTATCCTCCCAAAACATAGACCTGCAAAACAACACTCGTTACGGCTGGTTGCATCAGTATTTAGTACCCTGTACCCTTAAGTAAAATGGTATCACCCATGTAACAAGAAAGAAAGCTGGGTAGAGTTCACAATTTTTTATTCAAATGTTATTTCATTGTCATTTATGATTATCAGTAATTTTCACTTGTTTATCATCAGTGGACCAACTGCATCCAGGTACTGAAGGGGTGTCTGTTCACGGCAATGAAGCTGTTCCTTCTCTCTGTAGACAACCTTCCTGGGTGGCAGTACTGGTCCAAATTGAATCTGCGCTAGTTTCGCTCTCTCCGAAATTTCTACCTTCTGGATCAGTTTGATAAATCTGAAGATGTTTGGATGCTTGTGCTGGAGGGACTTGCCGATTCTGGAGTGGAAACCTTCTAGGTTGTTGTTTGTACGGGGCTCTTGTGTCGCATGGTATATCCACAGTCGAGGTGGGAACCGGGCATCGTCATCCACCCATGTCGTCCTGTACTTAGCATACGTGTAGCTGTCTAGGAGAACTTGTGGGGCACCTTTCTGGGACAAGACATACTCAACTTTCGTAAGTCCGGCCATAGCTTAATTGGACGAGGTTGAAGCTCATGTTCAAATATATTTATATGTTATACCCGATAATACCATACACAAGAGAAGGAAGTATTAGTGGTTGAGAACATTTGGTATATTCTTACACAAATCCCACAGCTTTTTTAAAGGTAATGTTTGAATAAGATTTGTGATGTACCGGGAGCAGATTAAAGAAAGGAGGAGGTTTTTTTAAGACAATGTTGTTGTTGTCCACTACTGCTCATTGGTTCAACATATTGATAATCCCTCATAGCAGGGGAAGTGGACCAGTCCATTCATTAATTAGGTGTGACCAGCATGGCCCAATTAATTAGTGAGCTAATTTTAACTGCTTTTTGGGAGGTCTGCATTTTGGAGGTCTACGTTATGGGAGGGAACCGTCCTAACTGTTGATAATGTCCGGTCAAATTTAAGCATGTCCGGACAATATTTTTTAAAATGTCCGGACAGAAAAATTTAAATGTCGAGTAAGCAATATTTTAAACCGAACATTTGAGATTCCCAATCGGACATGTCCGGAGCATATGACCGTTTCTGGACCCCTGCTGCCATACTTCAATATTAAACACAACACTGCCATACTTCCATCAAAAACTCAACATTGCCATACTTCAATATTAAACACAACACTGCCATACTTCCATCAAAAACTCAACATTGCCATACTTCAATATTAAACACAACACTGCCATACTTCAATCTTAAATACAATGCTGCCTTACTTCAATCTTAAACACAACACTGCCATACTTCCATCAATAACTAAACACTGCCTGACTTCAATCTTAAACACAACACTGCCGTACTTCAATCTTAAATACAACGATGCCATACTTCAATCTTAAACACAACACTGCCATACTTCAATCAAAAACTCAACATTGCCATACTTCAATATTAAACACAACACTGCCATACTTCCATCAAAAACTCAACACTGATGTTCTTCAATATTAAACACAACACTGCCATACATCAATCTTAAACACAACACTGCCATACTTCAATCAAAAACTCAACACTCCTATACTTCAATCTTAAATACAATGCTGCCTTACTGCAATCTTAAACACAACACTGCCATACTTCAATCTTAAATACAATGCTGCCTTACTTCAATCTTAAACAGGACACTGCCATACTTCCATCAATAACTTAACACTGCCTGACTTTAATCTTAAACACGACTCTGCCATACTTCCATCAATAACTAAACACTGCCTGACTTCAATCTTAAACACAACACTGCCGTACTTCAATCAAAAACACAACACTTCCAACCTAGATCTCAGATTTTCGATGATGGCTTCATACAACATTTCTTAATAAACTCCCTGATGTGGACTCTAGAGGGATTCACTTGTGATAGTCTTCTGATTGGTAATATGTTACATTCCTTGTTCCACACAAACCTTTTGATTTGACTCGGCTAGCAGCTTCTCAGTGTGCATCCTCTTCACGTTGGCCTCCTGGACCATCTTGTTGGCTTCCTGGTCATGGACAGAAGCATAAATATATCCAAGTTATAACAACATCTCTATATATCACATCCCTAGGCATTACATGTGTGATTTATACTGATAAATCACATCTCTAGCCATTACTGATATATCACATCTCTAGCCATTACATGTTTCATGTATACTGATATATCACATCTCTAGCCATTACATGTGTGATTTATACTGATAAATCACATCTCTAGCCATTACTGACTAAATATCACATCTCTAGCCATTACAAGTGTGATGTATACTGATATATCACATCTCTAGCCATTACATGTGTGAAATATGCTGATAAATCCATCTCTAGCCATTACAAGTGTGATGTATGCTGATATATAAATTCTCTAGCCATTACAAGTGTGATGTATGCTGATATATCACATCTCTAGACATTACAAGTGTAATGTATACTGATATATCACATCTCTAGCCATTACAAGTGTGATATATACTGATATATCACATCTCTAGCCATTACAAGCGTGATGAAAACTGACATATCACATCTCTAGCCATTACAAGTGTTATGTATACAGATATATCACATCTCTAGCCATTACAAGTCGATGAAAACTGACATACCACATCTCTAGCCATTACAAGTGTTATGTATACAGATATATCACATCTCTAGCCATTACAAGTGTGATGTATACTGACATATCACATCTCTAGCCATTACAAGCGTGATGAAAACTGACATATCACATCTCTAGCCATTACAAGTGTTATGTATACAGATATATCACATCTCTAGACATTACAAGTGCGATGAAAACTGACATATCACATCTCTAGCCATTACAAGTGTTATGTATACAGATATATCACATCTCTAGCCATTACAAGTGTGATGTATACTGATATATCACATCTCTAGCCACTACAAGTGTGATGTATGCTGATATATCACTTCTCTAGCCATTACAAGTGTGATGAAAACTGACATATCACATCTCTAGCCATTACAAGTGTGATGTATGCTGATATATCACTTCTCTAGCCATTACAAGTGTGATGAAAACTGACATATCACATCTCTAGCCATTACAAGTGTTATGTATACAGATATATCACATCTCTAGCCATTACAAGTGTGATGAAAACTGACATATCACATCTCTAGACATTACAAGTGTGATGTATGCTGATATATCACATCTCTAGCAATTACAAGTGTAATGTATACTGATATATCACATCTCCACCTATTTCATGTGTGATGTATATAGAGAATACTACACTCATTCTCGTTAGATACCATTTTTAAAAAACGAGTTTCATAAAAATGGTATGTAACGAGAATGAGTGTAGTATTTTATTTATTACCCACATCACATTCATAAGTCAATTAGCGCCACACTTTGAATATTTGACCAACAGTCGGTCACTCAAACCGCCGCGGTCCCGGCTGTGCAATCATAATGGTTCGATTTCCTTGTAAAGTCAGCTGAAATTATATCCAGTCCGTACCATTTTGGAAGAGGGTAATCAGGTGAGGTGAAATGGGGCTTATCGTCACGTCCAAGATTATTGCACTTATATGCATGCATGCACGTGTGTGTGTGGCTGCTTAAAATAGTCTGGACTGATGCCGATTTATAGTGCTGGCACACTGAGATAGCATGCTGCAGTTTAACATGAATACCCCACTCAGACACAGTATACTGACTCCGAGCCGACCAGTCCTTGTTTTAGCCCCTTAATGCGGAGCGCCAGACAGAGTAACAACAAGTACCATCTTTTAATGTCTTTTGGTATGACGCGGCCGGGGATCTCCGGACGGAAGCTCTACCACTAGACAACGGAGGCGGTCTAGAGGGTTATCATAGTGTTCGACAAGACATTCATGTTAACTGTACGACACTATACTGAAGACGTTAAAATAAACAAATCAAGCAGTGTCTGAAACTCAGCAGAGTAAACTGAGAGCCTTCACTGCCAGCACATTTAAAAAACTGTAGGTCCAGTGGAAAAACTGTAGGCCCAAACATCTTAGCTGAAGCAGGGAGACATACTCTTGCAATATAAACAAGCGTATAGTTGACAAAAACATCTATATCCCCTGCCCATTTTAACACGTTATGGTCCCAAACCAGGTAACTGACCCAACATTTCTCTTAGCCCATGTCAAAATAGCTGCAATGGAAATTCTAAAATAAACATTTCTAAAACTCCTTAATATCAAATGGCACTAGTTCAGTATGCGCTTTATATATAGACATGCAATGTTTGGCAAGGAAATATTTAACAGTTTATTTGTTATACTACTTAAGTAAACCAATCCTATATTAAAACTTAAATCCAACTTGTTGTCATGGAAACATAAACAATAAAAATTTCTAAAAGTGCTATATATCAAAAGGCACCAGTTCAGTATGTGCCTGGTAGACATGCAAAGTTTTGTAAGAAAGTATTTAACGTTTTTTGAGTTACACTCTGGAAACGAACACCACCCCTGTAGAACCTAAGTCCAACTTATTGCCATAGAAACGTGAAAAATAAAAATTTCTAAAATTCCTAAATAGCAAGAGGCACCAGTCCAGTATGTGTCTGGTAAACATGCAAAGTTTTTGTTGGAAAGTATTGAATGGGTTTTGAGTTATGCTCCAGAAACAAACTCTACCTTATAGAACCTAAGTCCAACTTGTTGCAATGGAAACGTAAAAAATAAAAATTTATAAAATTCCTAAATAGCAAAAGGCACCAGTTCAGTATGTGCCTAGTAGACATGGAAAGTTTTGTAAGAAAGGATTTAACAGTTTTTGAGTTATGCTCCGGAAACGATGACCACCCTTATAGAACCTAAGTCCAACTTGTTGCGATGGAAACGTAAAAAATAAAAATTTATAAAATTCCTTAATAGCAAAAGGCACCAGTTCAGTATGTGTCTGGTAAACATGCAAAGTTTTGTAAGAAATTATTTAACGGTTTCTGAGATATGCTCCGGAAACGATTTCGGGACACACGCACACACAAGCACGCACCCGCACACACACACACACACACACGAACGGAACCCATTTCTATATCCCCCGCCAACTTCGTTGAATAAGGTAAGAACGAGAAGAGGAAACGATCGACACAACCTTTTTTTCACACAGGTCTTCAATGACATGCAAAAGACAGAGGTGAGCAGGTAGAAGATCGGGACACCATTTACACAAATGGCCACACTGGATGGATGCTTCTATTGAAGTGGACCTCTTTGTCACACAGGTCTTCAATCAACTACTGAGACATCACATGCACAAGACAGAGGTGAGCAGGTAGAAGATCGGGACACCATTTACACAAATGGCCACACTGGATGGATGCTTCTATTGAAGTGGACCTCTTTGTCACACAGGTCTTCAATCAACTACTGAGACATCACATGCACAAGACAGAGGTGAGCAGATAGAAGATTGGGACACCATTTAAACAAATGGCCGCTGCTATTGACGAAGACCGAAGTCCCAACCGTCAAGCATATATACCCTCCCTCTAGGAGCTTGTCTGGGAAACCTGATTAAACATTAGCGATAAAGACAATTATTGCAGTTTATACAGTATACCAGACCCGGGACTTGTAGACCACTGGGCATCCTCATCTGCGCTGTCTGGCTGCTGAGAGGTGTTGGGCCAAGACAAGAGGGCCAAAGTGATGAAGACTTTGGACGCAGCAAAAGCTGTGGGAGGCAAAGACAGTATAAGCCAGAAACATCCCTCCATGATAGCTGAGAGTGTGCAATTACTAAGCAACACCAAGGTGGAAGCCACTGCCCTTGTCTCATGAGGATTGGAATCAACTGGGGTGGTATTCCCTCAAAGGTATAGGCCGTGTGGATGATAGAACGCAGCCAAAGGAAATTGTGGTTCGATCTCTGAAGGTGCAGCCGTTGATAAGGGGGATGAAAGATGCTTGCGAGAGTGACAGGAGGTCTGAGATGCCTTCAAGTAGACTGTCAAGGCTCAGACTGGGCAAAGTGAGAGGTTTTCCATGTCATCAGCCTCCAATATCCCTGAGAGCGGTGGAGGGTGAATGGACAATCCGGTTGTCCTGGGAACTGAATCTTAGCAATAAAGCCCCAGCGCAAGTCCAGGAATACTTACCTTGTTGAAGACGCTGGAACCGGACTCAACAGACGTCTAAGCACAGATCCCACTAACACGGGCTGCAATAGCCAGCGATAGAAGGAAGAATGTATGAATGTAATGAGTTTAACGTCTTATCCACAAGTGGTTCAAACTCGGCCAAAGATAAGTGACGGAGGAAGACGGTGAGATCACATGCTGGAGGGCTAAGTCTGGATGATAGGTCCACAAGTTGGTATGAGCAAATCAACGCCCGAAGCTCAGCAACAGCAGAAACCTTGGAGCAGTACGACTGAATTACTAGCAGCCAAACTGGTAAAACAAGAAAGAAGCGAGCAAAGCTCACATACCCCCGTTATCCCCGCTGGTCAACAACAAATAGTAAATAGTTTGTTAATTAATGAAATATACCTGTTGCTTTAAGTCAGAGGAACTGCCCTTTCCTTTGTAACACCATGAGGTATACAAAACCAGTCATCAAAATTTCGAAATTCCATCATGTTTCCATGAAAACAGCAAAAGAGAAATCTTTCAGAATCTTATAAAAGATAAAAAATAATCATAGTGGTTAATGTAGCAAGTTTGCTGAAGCTAGGATACATTATATTGTAAACATGGATCGTACAAAACACCCACCCTAAAAGTTTAAGTTTCTTAATGTTTCCATGGAAATGGCAAAAATTAAAAAATTCAGAATCTTCAAACTAGCAAAAGGCACAAGTACTCATTGTGGTTAATGAGTGTAGAAAGTTTGGTGAAGCTAGGGTGCATAGTTAAAAAGATATAGGCCGTACAAAACACCCACCCTAAAAGTTTAAGTTTCTTAATGTTTCCATGGAAACGGCAAAAATTATAAAATTCAGAATCTTCAAACTAGCAAAAGGCACAAGTACTCATTGTGGTTAATGTGTGTAGAAAGTTTGGTGAAGCTAGGGTGCATAGTTAAAAAGATATAGGCCGTACAAAACACCCACCCTAAAAGTTTAAGTTTCTTAATGTTTCCATGGAAACGGCAAAAATTAAAAAATTCAGAATCTTCAAACTAGCAAAAGGCACAAGTACTCATTGTGGTTAATGTGTGTAGCAAGTTTGGTGAAGCTAGGGTGCATGGTTAAAAAGTTATGGGCCGTACAAAAGCTCGGACGGAAGGAAGGACGGACGGACGGACGGATGGATGGACAGACAAACGGAACGCTATATACCCCCGATTTACTTCGTAAATGGGGGTATAAAAAGTTGATCCTTCAACTTCCTAGTAGAGCGGAGATGTTGGAGGAAGTCAGCAATATTTGAGGTGACGTGGTAGTGGGAGAGAAAGATCCCTAGCTGAGCAATAACTTTCAAACGCCTCCCACTTGTGGTCGGACAAAGCTTACTAGATGTGCGATGCACCAAAGTAATAGTATACGCCACCGTCGAGAATAACCCTTGGCTACGAGAGAAACTCTGGAGACATGTTGAACACAAGTAGTGAGGGAACCCAGACAGTGTGACAAGAGATCCATTACAGCCAAGGCCACACGAATATGGCCTCTTCCAACAACTTGGCACGCGTGGCATGCACAATGGACATGGCGACAGCTTCCGTTTTATACCCCTCACTGACTCCAACAAGTCCTTGTTTTAGCCACTTGATGCCGAATGCCAGACAGGGTAACAACCAGTACCATCCTTAACTTCTTCATGGTATGACGCAGCCAGGGATCGAACCCCAGACCTTCCTCTCTCCTAGCGGACACCCTACCACTAGACCACGGAGGCGGTATTGAGAGGATAGTTGATAGTAGGGGAAGTGTGAGATGGATGGTCTGGTCAATATGTGCTTATTTATCCACCAGAATATCAAAAGTGTAAAATGCATGGGATCAATTATGCTTATGTCGCTATCCAAAGATTTAGGAGCTACAGGAGAGGCCCAGTTGATCTGCAATCCCGAAACATGTCCGTCTGATCAACAATATCATGATCACTGGGAGAGGAGATTGGTCATGGGGGATCCCCGAGAGCTGTGAACAGAAGTGAAATCGTGTAACCCCCCTCGTCGTGCAGTCGTGTATGTTCATTCATGAACAAACACCTTTGAAAGCAATTTCACAAAATATACGTCGAATGGGGACACTGATGGCACAATCGGAGCATCCAGCGTAAGTCTAGATATCTGTCCAGATAGTTGAAATTGACTTAATTTTACCAGGCTTAACCTTTCACGTTAAATCAAATTGAAAGTCGAGAAAGTGGTCAGGTGCATCACGCTCATAGGGACCCTCGATAGAAGATCTATCAGTAGTCGTACATTGCATATGGATACAGCTCAATTATAAAATGTCTGTAGTAGCTCTATGCATAACTAATATAGAATGCAAAGTGAATTTGTTGTGGGTGACCACCTTGTTTGGTTTAATAAAGTGTGTGCAAATGTCTCTCGCTTTAATGAGATTCCTTCAGTTCTGCCTTGTAGTGGTAAAAGTGAATGACGTCTTGTGATTTTTTTATGAATGAAAAAAGTAGTGCCGGTGTGACAGAGGTCACGGTTATCCAATTAAAAGGAATAAAACGAGGTGAACCTTGTACGAAACACGTGTGACGTACGGATTTAGTATCTTACCACCTGTATCTTCACCATGTGGGTAATAAATAGAGAATACTACACTCATTCTCGTTAGATACCATTTTTAGGAAACGAGTGGACTTTCTATGGTATCTGACCGAGCGAAACCAAGGTCAGATAACATAGAAAGTTCACGAGTTTCGTAAAAATGGTATATAACGAGAATGAGTGTGGTATTTTATTTATTACCCACGTTTAATATGTGTGTAAGTGTAAATACATAACAACTTTTGTTCGTTGACAGACCAAACCGGAACCGGTTGCAAAATCTGGTTGCGCATGAATATTGATATATGCCCAAATATGCGCATTGTTGACATTCCTATGAATACGTATTAACAACATGCGCCTGCAGTTGTGTTTGAAAACAAAACAGCACCGACGCTCAAGATCCTTTTGGAAGAATTTCTTCAACTTATGAGATTTCAAGCGCCATGTTTTAGCACCTATACAAAATTTGAAAAGTCACATTAGAGCCGCGCTTTGAATATCGGACTTACAGTCGGTCATTCGCACTGCCGGGGTCCCATCTGTGCATTCAAAATGGTTCAGTTTCCTTGATCTGTCAGTTGAATTTATATCATGTCCGTACCATTTTGGAAGAGGGAAATCAGAGTGTTCGCCAAAGACATTCATGTTTACTGTACCACCCTTTACTGAAGATGTGAGAATCAACACACTCAAGATAGAGATAGGGAATGTTATTGTTCATCATTGGGATATTTTGGGCCACATAATCAGAAATCAGGCACACTTCTACGGAGTTTTCGAATGATTTGTATAGGAAATGTTCACTTTGAGTGATCTGGTTGTGCAGTCATGAACAAGCAACTCCCGAAACAGTGCCACAAAATACGCTTCGAAGAGGACACTGATGGCACAACCCGATCATCCCAAGTAAGTCTAGATATCAGTCCAGATAGTTTAAACTGACTTCATTTCACCACGCTTATCCTTTTATGTCAAATTGGAAGTTGCGAAAGTAGTCGGGTGCGTCACGCTCATTGGGACCCTCGATCTATTGAACAGTATTGAGCAGTCGTACATTGTAAATGGATATAGCTCGATTATATAATGTCTGTGGAAGCTCAATGCATAACTAATGTCGGATGCAAACCAAATTTGATGCGTGTGACAATCTTGTTTGGTTTAATAAAGTGTTTGTTAATATCTCTCGCTCACATGAGATTGCTTCAGTTCTGCCATGTAGTTGCAAAATGAATGACATCTCACGATTTTTTATGAATGAAAAAGGTAGTCCCGGTGTGACAGGTCACGGTTATCTAATCAAAACGACTAAAACAAGGTCAACCTTGTACGGCACACGTGTGACTTACAGATTTAGTATCTTACCACCTGTATCTTCACCATATGGGTAATAAACTGATATATCACATCTCCTGTTATTACATGTGTAATGGATACTGAAGTTATGCATACTGAAGTCTGGAGTTATGACGCTGCAGGGACAACATCATCGTGAACCCACCTCAAACAACGATGCTGTCAGATCATCCAGCTCCTCCTCCATCTGGTCCCGGACCTTGGACAGCTTCTCACACTCCTCATCTCTCAGACGCAGGTCCTGCAACACATGACAACTTGTGAGCCTAACTACAAAGAATGTAGCGTACTCCCTGAACAATCAGCGTTCATCAAGTACAATACTTTCCAAACTACAGACTTCCTTTGAACCAGAACCACATGAAAGCAGCATCCAGGAAGCATATCTACGCAGGCATCAGAGTGACACCATGTCAGAAATGCTAGAAAAATGCTCTTGTGGCTTCATTTAATATAGGAATCATAGGGCTATGAAAATACCATAGATCAAAATAATGTAAATCTACCTAATCTAGCCTATCCTAAATGACACTCTGATTAGCTTGACAGGTACTTTTACAGGTAAAATGATGATAAACTTAGAAAATATGTGTGAGTTGTCATGCATGTATGAAACTGCCTATAACCTGAGGTAATTACTTAACACCTGCTGAGGTGATGACTTCACACCGGCCATGCATTCTCACAGGTGCAAATGTCACCTAATTTGGGGGTGATCTCAAAATATTGCTGTTATTGTACTTCATAAAGATATGAGTTGACAGGGGTAACAATTAAGATATGTACTGCATTATATTTACTAAGAAAAATGATGGAATAGTTAAAAGATATGAAACGGGATGAGTATTGGAGGGGTGGGTTTTTAGAATCAAGAAGTATTTGATGGTTTCTTTAGCCAGCATGTGACTCTACTGATGACATATCTGAATCTGTCCTATCACTGAAAGGTAGGATAACTGGTGCAACAAGGCTGCTATCTACATGGTCACGTTGGTGGTAGTGACCTATTCCAAGAATGTCACATTTGCCATACCTCTGAGGTGAATGTAGTCAAACCTGCGTGGACCCTCCCTGTGTCTGTGTGAGTTGCAATGTTGGGTTGATATAATATGTCTTTCAACTTTACAGTTAGCCCAGATAGGCTGAGTGAGTGAGTGAGTATGGTTTTACGCCGCTTTTAGCAATATTCCAGCAATATCACGGCGGGGGACACCAGAAATAGGCTTCACACATTGTACCCATGTCGGGAATCGAACCCGGGTCTTAGGCTTGACGAGCAAACGCTTAAACCTCTAGGCTACCCGACCGCCCCCAGATAGGCTGAGAGGTCACAATGTCTGACTGGCATACACGAGACAACATGACTGTGTTGTGCTGCCAGCACATATGTCTCTACTGGTTTCTTATTAAGGAGAATTTTCTCCATGAGTTGAACTTTTGTATCAGATGGTCTGAAGTCGTCATTGCAAGACGTCAGATATTCCTGCATGGTCGCCTTCTGACTACTCATGGTTGGTGTGACAGTACGTGGCTCATGGCGTTATGATAACTGGCGTTACCCATGACAGTGACACTGGGGTTGTTTCGACTTGGCAGTAGCTGATGTTGAAACACAGTCTATGAACATATTGTTCATTTCCTTATGATAATCACGAGTTTTCTTTTCCTCTTTGAAAACTAGCCCCCATCCATCAATAAGCTCCAGATCAAGAGCTTTGGCGTGCAAAACAATGACATGATTCCCCTTACCATGGGTGCTTTTCCTCCATCTCATGGTAGCCACATGTAGTCAGTGGAATGATTCTTATTCACCCAGGTTACATCAAGGTCAATGATCTAGAAGCCCTGACTGTGATAGTTATGAATGGTGAGGAGACAATGTGACCTCAGACAGGATGGAATAGATTTCCCTGAAAACTGCTCAGTCACCACCATGTGCAGTGCATCAAAATCCAACCTCATGGAGAGAAATAATTAATGTAGTCTGGGAAATATTAATTGTGTCCTTAATTTCATCCCGAATTCTACTACAAGTCAGGGATACCCTCTGCTCATAAAGCTTGTACACTGTATGCTTAATCATCCCTTTATCAAAGCTGTCTAATAACCTTTTATGTCCTGGTACTGTTTTTCAGACAACCCCTACCTCCTTTGTTTTATTTATCATACCACAGACTCTCTCAAGTGTAAAGATTTCCTTCAACAGACTCCATGTCATGTACCGTGACTATAGCTATGAACATATAACGCATCATGGGAGCAGTGTTAACAAAACAAATGCAGCATCATTTTGTTATTTTTTAAGATGTACATCTAGGATTTTCTCCAGTTGACTTGTTTTTGTGGACTAGATGTTTTATGAAGACTATATTATTACTATTACTATTAGTTACAATTACTATAATTATTATTATCATTATTTTTATTATTACCCTGGTATTGTCATCATCATCATCATCATTATTATTGAGTCACATGCGCCAATTTCTATGTTCCATTTTAGGCATCCCTCATTGGACTTCGAACAAATCTGAACTTGCTGTTTTCGTTCAAATGTATCTCCTGTCAAATTGTCAATAGAACTCCTTGTGACTGAAATACTTCAAGCCAGAGGAAGGTCATCGGTAGTTACTCGATATTTCAACAGCAACAGTCTGTGAACCATTCTATCTCCAAGGGCTAACTCCAGCAGCCATCCATGCGAACACGGTGTCAGCCTCAGGGATGCTGCTCCTTCTACTGTTACGAGTGAGTGAGTGAGTTTGGTTTTACGCCGCTTTTAGCAATATTCCAGCAATATCACGGCGGGGGACACCAGAAATGGGCTTCACACATTGTACCCATGTCAGGATTCGAACCCGGGTCTTCGGTGTGACGAGCGAACGCTTTAACCACTAGGCTACCCGAATGCCCCTCTACTGTAACGAGGGCAGTGGAGTTCAAGAGGGGCACAATGAGCCTCAAAGATGATCCAAGATCAAGAAACACTTCAAGTGGCCACCAATAAGGAAAATATTGATATTAAAAATACATGATGTGATTATGGATGGTGGATGACTCAGCATTTGTCACACAGCCAATAGAGTAGGCATCTCTCCTGAGAGAGTCGAGAACATTCTGAGGCCTCAACTGGACATACAGTACTCGGCAGGCCTCAAAGTTTACATTTTTACCAACTAGCCATATGGCTACAAGTATTTTTTTCCAGGTAGCCAGTGGTAAAATAAAGAAGTCAAGCTAATATTGTAGGTAGCCAAAAGCATTTGAAATTATCTTTATCAAATAACTATTATAATATGTACAATTTACAGCGACTAGTCTTGAAATTGTATCTTAATGGAAACTGTACTTGAATTTTGTAACTTGTGACTTGAACAATGATGCGATTTATGTTATGAGATTATATAGGTATATCCTTGCTTATCCAATGAGCATTGTCAACTAAAATAAAGAACTGATTACATTAATTTTTATGTATTTTGGTTCATTGTCGACTTTAGAAGGAATTATTTGCGAGTACAATTGTTAGCAGATGTGTTTTCCAATATCAGCTGTTATTTATTTTTGTGCCTACAGATGTGTCGCCACAAGATATTTTTCTAGGTAGTCATTTGCCTACCTCTGAAGTTTAGACAGTAGACAAACTGAAATTTAGGTCGCATTGGCTACCGTTTTAGTGGCAACTTTGAGGCCTGCGGTCCTGTAAACCAGAAAATGAGTCCAGGTAACACAAACTGATGAAGTTTGAAACATGTACCACATTTTATCTTTTAAGATCAGGACTGAACTTGTGACGTACCGTTTGAGCTTTCTGGAGTTCTTCCTGCAGTCTGTGATACGCATGCTCCTTCATCTCGGCCATCGTCTGACTTCGCCGCCGAGATATTTGCAAGTCAGTCGTCTCTGCTTCAGAGTGGGCATGGCGCAGGTGGGCCCGGGCTGGATGTCGACGCAGCTCAACAACAGGACATTCAGACTCATCTATAGTCTCTTTCCTACAACACACACATTGCCCCATTATACCCTGCCAGGCCGGACTGTTTGTTGTTTGTGAATGGTTGGTTGGTTGGTTTGTTGTTTTACGCCGCACTCAGCAATATTCCAGCTATATGACGGCGGTCTGTAAATAATCGAGTCTGGACCAGACAATCCAGTGACTGATATCATGAGCATCGATCAAGGAAATTGGGATCGATGACATGCTTCAACCAAGTCAGCGAGCCTGACAACCCGATCTTGTTAGTCGCCTCTTACGCCAAGCATAATCGCCTTTTACGGTATGCATGGGTTGCTGAAGACCTATTCTACTCCAGATCACGGGTCGTTAAGTGAATGAGAGCTATTAAGTTGGGCATGTCAGTCTCATAGTTTAAAAGTTGATTATGCGTAATTTTTTATCACCAGAAAAAACATAACTGGCATAGAGATATTATTGTCCACTGACTTTTTCTATTTTCTAAAGGTATTCCAGGGTGGGAAGCTGACACTAAAGTTCCAGGAGTTCATGACCAATTTCAGATTATGTTTGTTCCAATTTTTATGTTTGGAGTATCTATAAAGAGTCACATGGCTGTTGCTGGGAAATTGTTTGCAGGTTTTCTTAATGACACCAAATGTCTTAACATGAGGAATACTACAAACATAACTTAAACTAATAGTAATAAAACCTACTGTTTTTCATCAGGAACTGTTCCATAAAGTCCATTAATAGCTCCTGTGAGTGAAACAGAGCGAGTGACACTGTCACTGTTTGACCCCTGCGACCTCTGCCCTGTCGGAGCTTGCCCTGACTGGCCACTGGCCACTCTGGGGGAATCCCCAGATTTTGTCCCTGTCCCAAGTCCTACAGCTGCAGCTGCCATACTGCCAACGACAACAGCTGCCATGGCACTTGTCTGATCCACCAGCTGTGAAGGGGCACCTTGCGGCGGTGGTCGGGTGCCCCACTCTGTGTCACTTGTACCAGGTGTAGTAGGACCTTGGCTACCAGACTGACTACTGGACACAGAGGATGGCTGTCTGTAGTTGGCTTCCTGTCCAACACATGGTTCTCGCTGCGTCAGTGCTGCAGCAGCTGGAAGCTTGGAGGCAGGGGAAGATGTCTGTGGCGACACTGGTCTGTCTGAGACTAGAAGCTGAGCATCTCCAGACATTCTCACAGCAGTGCTCTTGTCAAATCTAAAATGCAAAGGACAATACAACTGAAGTGAAGAAGGGTGCCCTGTATTACCAGTCATGCCAGTATGTCAGAAAATTGGGGTTCTTTCTTTTAGAGATACGCATCACTATATCAATTTTTATGTGTTGGCATACTGGGTGATTTCAAAGATCAATTTTGACAATGTGTTTCGTTATAAACTTGGCAAATACCTGAAAAATGAATTTGTTTCTAGCTAAGATCATGGCACCTTTATGTGGAATTTCTCACCATGATTGGTAAACACACAACAGTAGAGCAGTGTTGAAACATTCACAGCTACATACAACAGAAAAGCAGTGTCGATACATTCACAGCTACACACAACAGTAGAGCAGTGTCGATACATTCACAGCTACACACAACAGTAGAGTAGTGTCAATACATTCACAGCTACACACAACAGTAGAGCAGTGTTGATACATTCACAGCTACACACAACAGTAAAGTAGTGTGGGTACATTCACAGCTACACACAACAGTAGAGCAGTGTTGATACATTCACAGCTACACACAACAGTAGAGTAGGGTTGGTACATTCACAGCTACACACAACAGTAGAGTAGTGTCGGTACATTCACACCTACACACAACAGTAGAGTAGTATTCGTACATTCCAAGCTACACACACGGTAAAGTAGTGTTGGTACATTCATAGCTACACACAACAGTAGAGTAGTATTGGTACATTCCCAGCTACACACAACAGTAGAGTAGTATTGGTACATTAACAGCTACACACAACAGTAAAGCAGTGTTGGTACATTCACAGTTACAAACAACAGTAGAGGAGTGTCAATACATTCACAGCTACACACAACAGTAAAGCAGTGTCAGTACATACACAGCTACACGCAACAGTAGAGCAGTGTTGGTACATTCACAGTTACATACAATAGTAGAGCAGTGTCGATACATTCACAGCTACACACAACAGCAGAGTAGTGTCGGTACATTCACAGCTACACACAACAGTAGAGCAGCGTTGGTGCATTCACAGCTACACACAACAGTAGAGTAGTGTTGGTACATTCACACCTACAAACAACAGTAGAGCAGTGTTGGTACATTCCCAGCTACACACAACAGTAGAGTAGTGTTGGTACATTCCCAGCTACACACAACAGTAGAGTAGTGTCGATACATTCACAGCTACACACAACAGTAGAGTAGTGTCCATACATTTACAGCTACATACAACAGTAGAGTAGTGTCAATACATTCACAGCTACACACAACAGTAGAGTAGTGTCGATACATTCACAGCTACACACAACAGTAGAGTAGTGTCCATACATTTACAGCTACATACAACAGTAGAGTAGTGTCGATACTTTCCCAGCTATACACAACAGTAGAGTAGTGTTGGTACATTCCCAGCTACACACAACAGTAGAGTAGTGTTGGTACATTCCCAGCTACACACAACAGTAGAGTAGTGTCGATACATTCACAGCTACACACAACAGTAGAGTAGTGTCGATACATTTACAGCTACATACAACAGTAGAGTAGTGTCGATACATTCACAGCTACACACAACAGTAGAGTAGTGTTGATACATTCCCAGCTACACACAACAGTAGAGTAGTGTTGGTACATTCCCAGCTACACACAACAGTAGAGTAGTGTCGATACATTCACAGTTACATACAACAGTAGAGCAGTGTTGGTACATTCACAGTTACATACAACAGTAGAGTAGTGTCGATACATTCACAGTTACATACAACAGTAGAGCAGTGTCAGTACATTCACAGCTACACACAACAGTAGAACAGTGTCGGTACATTCACAGCTACACACAACAGTAGAGCAGTGTCGATACATTCACAGCTACACACAACAGTAGAGTAGTGTCGGTACATTCACAGCTACAAACAACAGTAGAGCAGTGTTGGTACATTCACAGCTACACACAACAGTAGAGTAGTGTTGGTACATTCACAGCTACACACAACAGTAGAGCAGTGTTGGTACATTCACAGCTACACACAACAGTAGAGCAGTGTTGGTACATTCACAGTTACATACAATAGTAGAGCAGTGTCGGTACATTCACAGTTACATACAACAGTAGAGTAGTATTCGTACATTCACAGTTACATACAATAGTAGAGTAGTATTCGTACATTCACAGTTACATACAATAGTAGAGCAGTGTCGATACATTCACAGCTACACACAACAGCAGAGTAGTGTCGGTACATTCACAGCTACACACAACAGTAGAGCAGTGTTGGTGCATTCACAGCTACACACAACAGTAGAGTAGTGTTGGTACATTTACAGTTACATACAACAGTAGAGTAGTATTCATACATTCACAGCTACACACAACAGTAGAGCAGTGTTGGTACATTCACAGCTACACACAACAGTAGAGTAGTGTCGATACATTCCCAGCTACACACAACAGTAGAGTAGTGTCGATACATTCACAGCTACACACAACAGTAGAGTAGTGTCAATAAATTTACAGCTACATACAACAGTAGAGTAGTGTCGATACTTTCCCAGCTACACACAACAGTAGAGTAGTGTTGGTACATTCCCAGCTACACACAACAGTAGAGTAGTGTTGGTACATTCCCAGCTACACACAACAGTAGAGTAGTGTCGATACATTCAAAGCTACACACAACAGGAGAGTAGTGTCGATACATTTACAGCTACATACAACAGTAGATTAGTGTCGATACATTCACAGCTACACACAACAGTAGAGCAGTGTTGGTGCATTCACAGCTACACACAACAGTAGAGTAGTGTTGGTACATTCACAGTTACATACAACAGTAGAGTAGTATTCATACATTCACAGCTACACACAACAGTAGAGCAGTGTCGGTACATTCACAGCTACACACAACAGTAGAGCAGTGTCGGTACATTCACACCTACACACAACAGTAGAGTAGTGTTGATACATTCACAGCTACACACAACAGTAGAGTAGTGTTGGTACATTCCCAGCTACACACAACAGTAGAGTAGTGTCGATACATTCACAGTTACATACAACAGTAGAGCAGTGTTGGTACATTCACAGTTACATACAACAGTAGAGCAGTGTCGATACATTCACAGCTACACACAACAGTAGAGCAGTGTCGGTACATTCTCAGCTACACACAACAGTAGAGTAGTGTTGGTACATTCCCAGCTACACACAACAGTAGAGTAGTGTCGATACATTCACAGCTACACACAACAGTAGAGTAGTGTCGATACACTTACAACTACATACAACAGTAGAGTAGTGTCGATACATTCACAGCTACACACAACAGTAGAGTAGTGTTGATACATTCCCAGCTACACACAACAGTAGAGTAGTGTTGGTACATTCCCAGCTACACACAACAGTAGAGTAGTGTCGATACATTCACAGTTACATACAACAGTAGAGCAGTGTTGGTACATTCACAGTTACATACAACAGTAGAGTAGTGTCGATACATTCACAGCTACACACAACAGTAGAGTAGTGTTGGTACATTCCCAGCTACACACAACAGTAGAGTAGTGTCGATACATTCACAGTTACATACAACAGTAGAGCAGTGTTGGTACATTCACAGTTACATACAACAGTAGAGTAGTGTCGATACTTTCCCAGCTACACACAACAGTAGAGTAGTGTTGGTACATTCCCAGCTACACACAACAGTAGAGTAGTGTTGGTACATTCCCAGCTACACACAACAGTAGAGTAGTATCGATACATTCAAAGCTACACACAACAGTAGAGTAGTGTCGATACATTTACAGCTACATACAACAGTAGATTAGTGTCGATACATTCACAGCTACACACAACAGTAGAGTAGTGTTGGTACATTCCCAGCTACACACAACAGTAGAGTAGTGTTGGTACATTCCAAGCTACACACAACAGTAGAGTAGTGTCGATACATTCACAGCTACACACAACAGTAGAGTAGTGTCGATACATTTACAGCTACATACAACAGTAGAGTAGTGTCGATACATTCACAGCTACACACAACAGTAGAGTAGTGTTGATACATTCCCAGCTACACACAACAGTAGAGTAGTGTTGGTACATTCCCAGCTACACACAACAGTAGAGTAGTGTCGATACATTCACAGTTACATACAACAGTAGAGCAGTATTGGTACATTCACAGTTACATACAACAGTAGAGTAGTGTCGATACATTCACAGTTACATACAACAGTAGAGCAGTGTCAGTACATTCACAGCTACACACAACAGTAGAGCAGTGTCGGTACATTCACAGCTACACACAACAGTAGAGCAGTGTCGGTACATTCACAGCTACACACAACAGTAGAGTAGTGTTGATACATTCACAGCTACACACAACAGTAGAGTAGTGTTGGTACATTCCCAGCTACACACAACAGTAGAGTAGTGTCGATACATTCACAGTTACATACAACAGTAGAGCAGTGTTGGTACATTCACAGTTACATACAACAGTAGAGCAGTGTCGATACATTCACAGCTACACACAACAGTAGAGCAGTGTCGGTACATTCTCAGCTACACACAACAGTAGAGCAGTGTCGGTACATTCACAGCTACACACAACAGTAGAGTAGTGTCGATACATTTACAGCTACATACAACAGTAGAGTAGTGTCGATACATTCACAGCTACACACAACAGTAGAGTAGTGTTGGAACATTCCCAGCTACACACAACAGTAGAGTAGTGTTGGTACATTCCCAGCTACACACAACAGTAGAGTAGTGTCGGTACATTCACAGTTACATACAACAGTAGAGCAGTGTTGGTACATTCACAGTTACATACAACAGTAGAGTAGTGTCGATACATTCACAGTTACATACAACAGTAGAGCAGTGTCAGTACATTCACAGCTATACACAACAGTAGAGCAGTGTCGGTACATTCACAGCTACACACAACAGTAGAGCAGTGTCGATACATTCACAGCTACACACAACAGTAGAGTAGTGTCGGTA